AAAGGAGATTCTGCCCCTAGGAGCACCTCAGAAGCCACCAACATCCCGCCAACAAGTCCCCCAAGACGCCCCAAGAACCACCCCAGAAGCCCAACAAGAAGCCCCAACGACCCCCAAACGGCCCTTACGGGGCCTCAAGAGGCTTCAACACTGCCTCCAAGAAGTTCCCGAGACGCCTGGCAAAAGAACCCCCAAAGCGCCGCGTTGACACCAGGCCCTCGGGCAAACGGCAGACATGAGACTGCATGGGCCGGCGGAATGAGCGAAGCGATTCAATAAGAAGGGCTGCACCACGAAACTCCGCCGACGAGGAAGCTCCTCTCGAACCGGCTCGGAGATCTTCAGGTCTGATGACCAGCTCCTGATGGGCTGCCCCGGCTTCTGGTTGACTCGGAACTCCTGGCGCCCACGACTCCTGGTCGACCTTGAGGCGCTCCACCCCCGAATCGACGCCCTCCGCGTCTGCGGGCGCTGGGGAGATGTCCGAAGCCTTCCGCGAAGACGCCTCCGAGGTTCCAGGAGGCGTTGGTTCAGCTGCGGGCTCAGAGCCCCGGCTGGAAGCAGCTGTCCCTGGGCCACCTGCCGAATGAGATGTCCTCGAGGCTGAATCGGGAGCAGGAGCAGCCTGTCCTCCGCGGAACGAATCTACATCCTCCTCTGCAACAAACACCAACCGCGAGACACAAGGCGTCGACCGCCTGGGGGCTGATGGACAACCGTCGGAGGTCCTGTCGTGCGGGGCCCAGAGGCGCCGGTCGAGCTAGATGATGCTACGGAGGAGGTTGGTGGTGGCGAGGTCCTGGGAATCACATTCCTGGCAGGTTCCGAGACGTCGGACTCCTCTCTAGGGCGGGCCTCCGCTCGGGGCTCTGGAGGACCAGACCTGGGGCCCGATGCAGAAGATAGTGACCCATGTACCTCGAGCGCTCGATCGAGAACTCTACGGGGACATTGTACAACTTCGGGACCTGATCGAAGACCTCCCTGAGCATCTGAGAGAGGCACGATGCTGAGGACTGGATAAGTTCTGCTTCCACAATACTCCGACTGAGTAGCAGGGCGCATCTGCTCACTGCTGCACTTCCAGAGTTCGCTCCTAATCCCAACCCAGACGGTAGCGCCCTGATGGTAGATGACCGAACCTGGACCCAGCCCACACGTCGCGTTGGAGCCCAAAGGGTTTCTTGCCAGAGGATGAGGGCCTGATCCACACATGCACCCAATCTCCCGGTTGGTAGGCACGATCACGATGCCCACGCCGAATGTAGAGCGAGACTGAGTTTGCTCCTGGCATCTCCTTCCATCGCCAGCTCCCTGGCCCTGGTGCGAATGGCATCCTGGTGGCGGAAGGCTGCCGCGGCACTGTCTACATCACCACTCGCCTCCGTGAGATCACGCAAGCCAGAGATCTGGAGGGCCCCCCGAGAGCAACTCGCGAAGCAATCGAGGGTTCTGACCAAACACCAACTGTAGCGGAGAGAATCCGCCTCTGTTGAGGAAGCGGTCTCGCCAAGCCGTGAGCTCGCGGGCTGCCTGCTCCAAGTCGCCCGGACTGTTCAGCAATGCCTCTTCGACAGTCCGTTGGAGAAGCCCCTCCAACCGCTGGCCTGCCTGCTCCGTCCTCCTGGTCTGCCAGGGGCCCTCGGCGTCGGTCGCGTGGTGATATGATCCTGACTGCTGTGCAGAACGATCGAACTCTGCCTCGAACTCCGCGCCTCCGTCTGACGCGATCACCTTTGGCGGACCGCAGTGGCGAGGCCATCCCTTAGCAAATGCCAGCCCGACAAGACCCGTTTGCGAACGACGACCTGGCCGACAATACCAGCCCACTGGAGAGACGCACCTGGGCACGCTGCGTTGAGGAACGCATGAATTCGCCGACGGTGCGTGACATAGAACAAGTCGATGCCGATGATTTCGTCGTAGGGGGACACACGCGCGGGGAACGCGACTCCCGCGCTGAGAGATGGAACGAACAGAACTGGAGCAGGCCTGGGACTCGAAGTGCTTCTGCACGTACTGCGATACCTCAGGACGCGCATGTGCGCAGCGTAGAATCCTCAGTAGATCACGGTTCGTAGGATGTCCTGGGTTTACGCGCGTCTTCTCCACCATCGTCATTTGCTCCTGGGTGAGCACGGTCTCCGTGACATCTGGCGTTCCCTCAGCTTCCTCGGCGCCCGCGCGCCCCTCGTCGTCTTCCGCCGGCCCGCCGACCCAGGATGCTTGCAGGTCCTCGTCGCACAAGAGTGCGGGGCAGGTAGAAGTGAGGGAAGTCTCGACAAAGCTACACTCATTCTCGATCCGCGCTGATCTCAGCACTGCAGTGGCCGCACTACGACAGAACTCGCCAGGGCGCACGGCAGCCCTCGACGCGGCCCGGCCCCCGACCAACAAGTCACGCCTAAAATCGCCCCTGCACATCCTCAGCGAAAGAGCCTGGAGCAGCGCCGAATCATTGGACAAGATGCTCGCTGGTTTCCTCGAGAGCGACTCGCCCTTGACACGGAGACCAAAGCCTGCGCGCGTTGAAGGGCGCCTCCTGAACGCCAGCCTGACTGCGCAGCCACTCTGTACTGCGCAATCGAAGTGAGTGAGCATGTCGGGGCTGCTCGATCACGAACCTCCGACCCTGAGAGACCTGTCCGGAAGCAACCTCCAGCGCAAAACCCACAGAGTCGCGGCCTCGGCACGCGCGATGGCTAACCGGCGGGGGTCCTGGCGGTCTTCGTTAGAGGCGGAAAGCATGCTGAACTCGGTGCATGGTGGACAAAGCAACACATACCACGGCTTCCAAAGATCGATCAACTCCCGGCAAGCTGGCGGTGTTTGGATAGCCTGAAATCTCAACCAGTCTGGAGATCCAAGCTGCCTCTAGTAGGGGCTCTACCAAGACGAGACGCGCGCGGCCTACTGCGAGGAGGGGAAAAGGTCTCAACGAAATCCCGTTGGGCACCAGCGTCCAGAGCCCCGCGCCCAAGCCTGGTGAGAGACTGACCGAGGGACTCGAGGGTTCCATTGCGTACCGGCGTGTTCTTCAGGCCCTCTTTGCAAGCCGAAGTGTCATCTCTGTCGTTCTCAGCCTCCAGAAAGCAGCCTACAGGAAGATGCAGCATCTGGTCCCAAGATCCCAGGGGAGGAATGTGTCATCGGCATTCGTCCTGTCCTAGCCGTCATTGGTGCAGATGATGTTGTTAAGGATGTCATTGACACCTGGGTCGCTGATGGCGGCGTTGATGACGTCGCTGAAGATGGCGCCGTAAGTGGCCAAGGAGAGTGCGAAATCACACTTGATGCGGCATTGGCCGATGACGATGTTCGAGGCGATGGCGGCACGCACAGCTCCTCAACACTCACTTTTTCCAGGCGCGAGTCACTCTCTCCAGAGCTTGGGGAGTAGCATAGGTCGGCCTTGCTCGCGCGAAGTACGCTGCTCCACAGTCCGCGATGGCGACTGGCGGCCTGTGGTAGCTGTGTCCAGCAAGATCCTGGGAGCTTGCTGGACACAGCTGCGTGGATGCCCCGGGAGATTCCCGCCTCAGATTGAGTGAGGACTCGGCGACGTCCCGACCAGCTCGAACTCTCCCTGTGTCGGACCCTCCTGGCTCTGGTGCGACGAGGAGGCCGGGGCCGGGCCCGCTGGCGCATCTGCCGCAGGAAGCATCAGCACATCCGCCGGCTGCTGACTGCTGGCCAGGGCGTTCAGACGCTCGCTCACCGACCGCATCTGGGAGACCAGGGGGATCATCGAGGTGGCCATATTATGTGACTGAGCCTGTAGAGTCGCCTGGATGGCGCTCGTCACGTTTGCGGACATGCTCGCCGACATGGCCCGCGCGGCCTCCCGCGCCATCGCCGCCGCCCAGGCCGGAGGGGGAGAGGGGCTCGACAGGCTGCTCCACTGATCGTCTGGCACCGCAGAGTGATCCGCTGGCCTCGCGGCCGCCACAGGGCTCCGAGGGGCCGCGTGTCGCGCGGGAGCTGCTCACTGTCCTCGAAGTAGAGCCAACTCCAGGTTCGTCATTCTGCGGTTGCCGTTGCCCGCGCTGAGCTCGGGGCGGTTGGCGACTCGCATCCGGCCGCTCGAGTTGAAGTCCCACAGGGCGCACTGGTTCCCTGCGCTCGAGATCCCCCATGGTGGATGGGCGCATCTGGTCCAAGCACTGGCTTGAGTCTCCTGCAGCAGCTTCGAGTCCTCGAGCAGTCGCTTCTTGTAGCTCTTGGCGTCGAAGAGCCGCATGTCCATGACGAGCCTCGAGATCTTGACCCTGGCCCCGTCGAAGTAGGCACCCTCTGAGACCGCGAGGGCTGTCCAGAGGCCCGCGGCCGAGCGAGCCTCGCCCTCGGTCTTGACGCGCTTGATCACCATCGGCCGGCACTCTGGGCACCCCGGGGTAGACTGCTGCAGGGGTCGCGCGGGCGGCGCAGCTGCTGGAAGAAAGGCTGCGAAGAGAGAGGGGGGGGGGAAACAAAAAAAACGTTGAAGAGGCACAATCGGCATGAGAGGGAGATGAAGGAGGTGCCAATTTGAGTAAGGTCTGCCCACTGGAACATTTCCTGGTGCCCCGAAAATCCCTGCAGCACTGTGCCAGACGCGCTGGCGGCTCGAACTGGCGGTCAAGACCCTGCCAGCCATTCATCCTGATCGAGATGTGGCTCCTGCCCGATCTCGCCATGGGCACGGTGCGTCCGACCTTCTGTAGAGCGAGCTGCCCCCGCGGATAATCCACAATGGCGCCGAAAGAGTCGAGAGACCCACCGGGTAGCAGCGGTGGGGGGCCCACCTTGGTTACGACAAACTCAATCACTCCAGACTTGCCTCCCATCGCCACCAGGGCCATCACCACGACGAGCAGGGTGGCCCGTCCGCCGATGCCCCTCGGAGGCCCTGGCGGGCTTGTCGATCCACGCAGGAGCGAAACCACGGGACCTCAGGTCCTCGGCGAGGCGGTCGAGGGACCCCTTGCCCATGATCGCATGGGAGGCCCCGCTGTCCACGATCAGCCGCCCTCGAGTGCGATGATGGAAAGGATCTTCTGGTTGGAGATGCCCTCGTCGTTCCTCTCGAAACACTGCCCGCGGAGCTCCCTCAGAGCATCTTCGCCGAGTAGTGTGATCCAGGAGCTGCCGGTGAGATTCTCGTCATTATTCAAGCCTCTGTTCTCCTTCCAGGTATTCTGGTGGCCCTTTCCCATCTGAGCCAGCGTCTCGTTGACCTCATCTTCGTTGAGGTCCGGTCCGCTGAGCTCCACAAGGATGCCGAGCTCGTCATCGGAGTCCAGCTCGGCGGCCCACCAGTACCACGCCGACTCTGGAGGTCCGATCTGGTCGTCACGGATCTCGTCGCTGGACTTGGCGCTGCTGAGTTCGAGAAGGCTGCTGTGAGACTGGGGATCCTCGCCCCAGGCCATGTTAAAGATCACCGTCCTCACTATTTTTTGGAAATAGGGGGAAAAAGGAGGAAAAAGGTAGAAAACTTGCGGGGTCGGCGGCAAGCTGGTCATATGGGGCGCGGCCGCGCGGCCGCAAGAAACCCGTCCATCTCGTCGGCAGGGACCAGCGCCTGGCGGCGCAGACGGGGAGACAGGAAGGAAGAGCGGAGTCAAGGGAAGAACCATGAGCGAAATATGGGGAGGAGGGGCGGAGGGGGCCAGAGAAGGGCAAGAGAAGGGAAAGGAGGGGCAAGAAAAGGGGCATGAGAAGGGAAAGGAACGAGAGCGGGCCTCTCCGAGGCGGTGGGGGGCAGGAAAGGGCGGGAAGGATCATGGAAAAGAAGGGGGGGAAGTATGGGGCGAGAAGTGGGCGAGGGGGGGAAGGAAGCACGGGGGAGGACTGCAGTCATCGCACCCCCCCACCCACACACGCACCCACACACACACACAGAACGCAGAACTGCGATCGAATTGGGTGCTCTGGCCACGGAGGGCCTGGATCACAGGCAGGTTCCATCACATAAATCGAAAGAGTGGTCCTTATTTCAGCGTCTTGATTGCGCAGTGCGCGCGGCCATTTCACGTGTCCAGCGCCCCGCGCTGGCGCAACTGTTGCTCGAATCATGTCTTCGCAGCGCGCGATACGCTCGCGCGAAAATGGGGCGACGGGCCGCGAGGGGAGGATGGGGAGGAGGAGTCGGAAACGAGGAGGGAACGGATGAGGATGAAAAGGAGGAGGGCGAGGGGGAGGAGGAGGAGGAGGAGGAGGAGGAGGAGGAGGAGGAGGAGAAGTCAGGAGGATGAGGATCACGAGGAGGAGGGGAAGAAGGATGAGGCGGAGGAAGAGGATGAGGAGGGGGAGTAGGAGGAAGAGGAGGAGGAGGAGGAAGAGGAGGAGGAGGAGGGAATGAGGAGGAGGAGGAGGAGGAGGGAATGAGGAGGAGGAGGAGGAGGAGGAGGAGGAGGAGGAGGAGGAGGAGGAGGAGGAGTGGGGGCGAGCGAGAGGCTCACAAACCACCTGCCCCGAAGCCTGAGGGGGAGAGGCGGGAAAGGTTACTCGCCCTCGCGGCCCGCGCGAGCGCAGCCGCTGCCCTAGCTTGCCGCTCGCAGTCGCCGCCGCCCACCGAAGAAGGGCGCGTGGGACGAGGGAGGCGGGGGGGGCGCCGACGCGGGCGATGGGGGAACGGATAGCGGCGATGGCAATGCCGCGCGCATCGGGCACGAGGGGGGCGAACACGAGAACGGATGCTGGGGGGGCGGACTACTGCGCATGCGGGCGACTCACGATAATGAACATGAGGACTGATGACGAGGACGAGGACGAGGATGGGGATGATGAGGACGAGGGCGAGGATGGGGATGAAGGCCACCCCGCGACTCGTCTCAGCCGCCTTCCTGACATCCCCCCCCCTCCACATCCACCCGCCACTCGACTCCCTGATCACCGCGTGTTCATCACGCCCTCCACTGCCCTCCACCCCATCCTGTCCTCCGCCCTCCAGCCCGCCGGGTCGGCGGGCGCGCGGCGCAGACGCCGCCCCCCTCACTCTGCTCAGCTGCCGAAGCCGAGCTTCTTCTGGCCGCGGGCCTCGCCAGCCTTCTTCAAGGCCTTTTGCTTGGGTCCTGCCTTCGCCTTCTCGTCGGCAGAGCGCTTGGTCGCGAGCGTCGCCTGGCTCTGGCGCTCCTCCTCAGCCTGCTTGGCCAGGCGCTCCTCCTCAGCCTGCTTGGCCTGGCGCTTCGCCTCCTCAGCCTGCTTGGCCTGGCGCTCCTCATCCTCAGCCTGCTTGGCCTTGCGCTCCTCCTCAGCCTGCTTGGCCAGGCGCTCCTCCTCAGCCTGCTTGGCCAGGCGCTCCTCCGCGGCCTGCTTGGCCTGGCGCTCCTCCTCAGCTTGCTTGGCCTGGCGCGTCTCCTCCTCCGCCTGCTTGGCCTGGCGCTCCTCCTCTGCCTGCTTGGCCTGGCGCTTCTCCTCCTCAGCCTTCTTGGCCTGGCGCTCCTCATATTCCTGCTTGGCCTGGCGCTCCTCCTCAGCCTGCTTGGCCTGGAGCTGTTCCTCCTCCTCAGCCTGCTTGTCCATGCGCTGCCCATCCTCAACCTGCTTGGCCTGGCGCTCGTCCTCAGGATCCTCAGCCTGCTTGGCCTGGCGTTCCTCGTCCTCCCCAGCCTGCTTGGCCTGGGGCCCCTCCGCGGCCTGCTTGGCCTGGCGCTCCTCCTCAGCCTGCGTGACATGCTGCCCCCCCTCAGCATGATTGGCCAGGCGCGCATCCTCAGCCGTCTTGGCCAGGCGCTCCTCCCCCTGCTCTGCAGTCTGCGTGGCCTGGCGCTCATCCTCAACCTGCTTGGTCTGGCGTTCCTTTTCCTCCCCAGCCTGCTTGGCCAGGCGCTTCTCCTCCTCAGCGTGCCTGGCCTGGCGCTCCTCCTCAGCCTGCTTGGCCAGGCGCTCCTCCTCAGACTGCTTGGCCTGGCGCGTCTCTTCCTCAGCCTGCTTAGCCTGGCGCTCCTCCTCTGCCTGCTTGGTCTGGCGCTCCTCCTCAGCCTGCTTGGCCAGGCGCTCCTCCTCTGCCTGCTTGGCCTGGCGCTTCTCCTCCTCAGCCTGCTTGGCCTGGCGTTCCTCCTCAGCCTGCTTGGCCTGGCGCTCCGCCTCAGCCTGCGTGGCCAGGCGCTCCTCCTCTTCCTGCTTGGCCTGCCTGCTTCTCCTCCTCAGCCTGCTTGGCCAGGCGCTCCTCCTCAGCCTGCTTGGCCAGGCGCTCCTCAGCTCAGCCTCTTGGAGGCTTTGGCCTGGCGCTCCTCCTCAGCCTGCAGCCTGCTTGGCCAGGCGCGGGCCAGGCGCTCCTCAGCCTGCTTGGCCTGGCGCGCTCTGCTCCTCTTGGCTGGCGCTCCTCCGCAGCCTGCTTGGCCAGGCGCTCCTCCTCAGCCTTGGCTTGCCTGCTTGGCCTTGCGCTCCTCCTCAGCCTGCTTGGCCAGGCGCTCCTCCTCAGCCTGCTTGGCCAGGCGCTCCTCCTCTGCCTGCTTGGCCAGGCGTTCCTCCTCCTCAGCCTTCTTGGCCTGCGCTCCTCCTCAGCCTTCTTGGCCAGGCGCTCCTCCTCAGCCTGCTTGGTCAGGCGTTCCTCCTCCTCCGCCTTCTTGGCCTGGCGCTCCTCCTCAGCCTGCTTGGCCTGGCGCTCCTCCTCTGCGTTCGTCTCTGCGTGCTCCTGCTTCGTCTTGTCGTCGCCCAGCGCGAGCATGGCGGCCACGCCGTTGTTGTCCAGGTCAATCTGGTTGCGCTCATTCTGGTTCAGCGGCCTGGCGAGCTTGAGAGCGACCACGCGCCGCAACGCCTGCAAGTGCGACATCTCGGCCACCTCTCACGGGCCGAGCGCGACAGCGAGCGCGTGCTATGGAAGCCATGGACCATGACACGCCGCCACGCCGCGCATGCTCAGCACACCGCGCAGGGCCACGAGTGTAAACACACGGTGCAGGGCGCGACGGCGGCGCGACGCGCGAGGGATGATGCGTGCGCAAGATACAGAATGTCAGAACCAGGTGAAGCACGTCGGGGGCCGAGGGTGAGACTCGGGTGGGCGGGGGAGGGGCGCTGCCTGCAAGGAGGTCGGCGGCGTCGGCGGAGGGAGAAGGATTCGGCGACATGCACCATGGGACGGACTGAAACCATATACAACGGCAAATTGAGGAAGGGCTGCGAGGGGAGGGGGGAAGGGGGGTGGGCGCCAGAACCCTGCGCGCCTCGGGGATCGCCACGAGCACGTCGAGGCTCGACGAGAGGTGCCCCAGCGGCTTCCCCACCCTGATGTTGCCGATCGACTGCCTTGCAGCGCGCTCCAGTGACGCGCGGGCGCGAGCCCAGCCAATGGCACAACGCTCTACTGGCGCACGTGTGGCCCGCTGATCTAGCGCGCCCATCTCTCCATCTGATCTCTCTTTTTCTATCGCTCTCTCCCTCTCTCTATACATATATATATATATATATGTATATTCCCCATCCGTCTGGCTTCGGTCCCACCTCTCTCTCTACCCCTCTCTCCCTATCGCTGGTTGATTGTCACTCTCTTTCTCTCTCGCTCTCTCACTCTCTCTCTTTCGCTTTCGCTCTCTCTCTCTCTCTCTCTCGCTCTCTCTCTCTCTCTCTCTCTCTCTCCCCTTGTGCCCCCATACAAAAACATCACTCGCCACATCCCCCCTCCATTCCCCCTCGACACATTGCCGCGCCACTGGCAGGGGCGATCGACGTGGCGCCATGCAAACCACAGTCGATCGAACGGCCGTCAACCCGAGCCCATGTGATCTCGCACGCGCCAGCGAAGAATAAAACATGCGTCCTGATGCCGTAACAATCGCTCTGCGCCTTCTCGGCGATCAGGAACCCACACGGCACATACATCACCTTGCAGCAAATGGAAGAGGGGGCGGGCGGGCAAGGTCCACAGCGGCGACCCTCAAACCAACTGCTAACCATATGTGGCACGAGACCTCGGGGGTCTGGACCTAATGGGGCACCCGAGGACCTGACAGCGGTCGCACCGCCCACCCCCAGACGTTGTTCCTGCGCAATTCTGGGGCGTGCGATGGCCCCTGGGGCCCACGGGCTAGGTTGGGCTTGCAAACGCCGTGCTACCATGGTGAACGCAGAGCAACAATAACTGACAAGCTAGTCTGGCCACGGCGGGCCTACGACACGAACGCGTTCGATGTCGAACATCTAAGGGCTAGCCCGAAACACGCCAGCCCTTCCTGAGATGAGGGGGGCACTGATTTCAGCGGCATGGCTACACAGCGTTACACGATGCGCCCCAAGGAGGTGTCCGAAGGCCACAGAGTGAGCAACAATATGACAGATTGATGCCATCTACCCGTATCCCGCCCGACCTCGTTCTCTCTCTACCTCTCTCTTCCGATTTCTCTCTCTCTCTCTCTCTTTCTCCCTCCCTCTTTCTCCTTCTGCTGCTCGTGCTCTCGCCGTCTCTATCTCTCTCTCGCTCTCT